CGGCACCAGCACCCTCAGCAGCCGAAGAACCTCCAGCTCCAGCAGCACGCCTCCAGCGCCGGGCAAACCACTCGCGCAGCTCCTGTGGAGAGAGTGGCTCCCGTCGAGACGAAGCACCCGGAGAACCTCCAGGCTCAGCACCGCCAGACGCCACACGTGCAGGCCCAGCTCCCTCAGGCTCCGCACCCCCAGGCTCAGCACCTCCAGGCGTAGCACCCCCAGGCGAAGCACTCCCAGGCTCAGCACCCCCAGGCTCAGCACCCCCAGTAGTAGCACCCCCAGGCTCAGCACCCCCAGTAGTAGCACCCTCAGGCTCAGCACCCCCAGGCGTAGCACCCACACGCTCAGCACCCCCAGAGTCAGCACCCCCAGGCTCAGCACCCTCAGCAGCACCAGAGTCACCAGTAACCTCGACAGGCTCGACTGCGTCTACCTGGGACACACCTGAAGGGGCAGGACCCTGAGGGGGGAGGGGGTCTACCGGGGGGGGACCTGGGACAAGGAAGAGCGGTGGCGGGGGGAGGGACGGAGTGCGGTAGGGGAAGAGGCGGTAGTAGGGGACCGACTCGTCAAACGTGACGTCCTGGGAGGACAGAACACGGCGAGAGGTGGGGTGGTAGAACTGCCACCCTGGCGCGTCAGGGGGGAAGCCAAGGAAGACGCAAGGAGCAGCACGAGGGGACAGCTTGTCCGCAGACAAGTCGCGGACAAACGCCCGAGATCCCCAGACACGGAACGCAGACGCATCGCCAACCTTCCCCGTCCACAGCAAAGCTGGGGAGGTCTCCGGCATGGAGACCCTGGGGTGAAGGTTGATCTGATGCGCCGCGTACCGAACCGCAAACGGCCACAGAAAATGGGGGGCAGCCGCATGCATCATGGACGTACGGGCGACATCCATGATCATGCCAATGCGGCGCTCAGCAATCCCATTTTGCTGTGGAGAGTCCGGAAGCGTGAAGGTCTGGCGGATGCCTCGTGCACGACAGTAGGCTCGCAGAAGGCCAGAGGAGAACTCTCCACCTCTGTCAGAGTGCAGACGCTGAACAGGAAAGTCCGAGCCGAAGCTCTGCCTGAGCTGGAGACGAGCTGCGCGGATCCAGTCGATCAACACCTCAGTGACATCACCCTTGCTGCGCAAGGGGAAGACTGTGGTGTAACGCGAGTAGTCGTCAACCACCAGCAGGAAGTAGCGCTCGTGACCCTGTCCACGGACGCGGGCCGGGCCCCACACGTCCATGTGAAGCGTCTGCAGCGGGGCCTCTGTCGGAGGAAACTGGGAGGAGTGAGGGGCAGCCCGCTGCCGCCCCTCGACACAGGGGACGCAGGTAGGGCCAGGCCCCGGAGGAAGGGGAGGGAGGGACCGGGGAAGACCAGAGACAAGGACACGGGAGGCCATGCTCTGGAGACGAAGCAGGGAGGGGTGACCAAGGCGGTGGTGCCAGAGGAGAGTCTCGTGAGACAGGAGGCGACACGAACAGGGGGCAGACTCAGGACCAGACCTGGACGCTGCAGCAAACACCTGACCCGACGCAGCTACCTGACCAGACGTAGTGACTGGAGGAGACGCAGTGGTCAGGGTGTACAGGCTCGACCCCGGCCGACGGGTAAACGTGGCCAGGTGTCGGCCTGTCCGAGCGTCCGTGCAGTGGGTCACCCGCTGACTCGCAGGAGTGAACTGGTGAACCCCCGCATCCTGTAGGTCAGCACCACTCACCAAGTTCGTAGAGAACGAGGGAAGGTAAAGACCAGACAGGGTGCCAGAGGGGGCCGCCGGACACGGGAGGACAGTGGAGAAGTGAGCAAGGACAGGACCCCCAGAGGGGTCTGCCAGAGAGACTGCAACTGGCCGGCTAAGCGGCGTGAGTGTGGTGCGGTCTTGAAAGAAGGAGCGAGAAGCCCCCGAGTCAAGGGTGAAGGTGTGGGAGGCCGAAGCCGACGCAGAACCTGAGAGAGCAGACTCACCAGCACCTGAGGGAGCAGACGCACCTAGAGCAGCAGCCTCGCTAGCACCTAGAGGAGCAGCCTCACCAGTACCTAGAGCAGCAGTCTCAATGCCCGGGTCGGGCGGAAAACACCGGTAACAGTCACCCTCATCACTAATAGTCACAGTATACATGGCAGCAAGAATAGCATCAAAGTCAAGGTCAAAGACAGCCACACCCGCCCTAGACAGCTCACCCCAGCGGGGGATCTCAGTGGCCTCAGGGAACTGGTGACGCCAAGCGTCCGTCAGGCGGCCAAAGCAGCGCTGGGTGGAGTGCGCACCCCCGCACTGCTCACCCGCGCGGTCGCCGGTGCGGAGGACGTAGGCGCACGGACCAGTACCCCCACCCCTCTGGCGTGCAGTGTACCACTCACAGAGCTGCTGAGGGGAGGGGATGTCACGAGTGCGCTGCTGCTGCTGCTGCTGCTGCTGCTGGCGCTGACCACCACCGGAGCCGACCCTCTGCGCAGCGCCACCCCGACCAGCTCCACCTCCTCCGCCGCCTCCTCCTCCACCGCCGCCACCTCCGCTCCCTCCGCCACTGCCGCTGCCGCCTCCGCCTCCACTGCCGCCACCGACACCTCCACCCCCGCCACCACCCCCACCGCCACCCCCACCTCCTCCACCGCCTCCACTGCCGCCTCCACCGCCCCCGCTAGCTCCTCCAGCGCCCCTGCCCCCCTTGCCCTTGCCAGGGCGGCGTCTCCCGCTAGGGGTAGACGCCGCACCGACCGACTCAAGCCCAACGAGGTCGGCCGTAGCAGCAGAGGCAACAGAGGGCAAAAGGGGGGAGGGGGAACACCCCTCAAAGATGGGGGTGCGAGGGTCACCACGAGAGGCTCCTACAGCTACTATGCTCTTCTCTGCTGCTAGGAGGGACTTCTCGAGGAGGTCAACGGTGAGAGTGGTGGGGCAAACTGAGAGGAAGTGGTCCCTGACTACGCGAAGGGAGTCAGGGAGCCGGGTGACTATGTAGTAGAGGGTGATGTACATGGGGGGGGGGTTCTTGGCGCAGAACTCAGCAGGAAGCGCAGCGCGGTAGCGAGTGTCACTAGTGCGTAGGTGCGTAATGAGGTCAGCGACTGTGGGAAAGGCAGCAAGGTCAGGGAAGAGGTACGGTAGCATGAGGCGACTCAGTGCAGCAGTGGCAGGGGAGGAGTAGCGTGCAACTACAGCGTCGTACAAGGTCTGAGAACTCTTGTACTGGCTAAAGTGCGCACGCTCAGAGGTAGGCAGGTGGCGACGCACAGCAAGACGTGCAGCAGCATCGCGCGTGGCCCACTGGGAGCGAACAGTTGCGTCAGCATCAGTGGCGGGGGCAGGAGAGGCACCATAAGTGAGGTCAAAGAGGGAGAGGCCGTCTGCCCTATCGCACTGTAAGAAAAGCTGCAGGTCATCTATCCAGACGTCAAAGTCAATGGCCTGACCCTCAGCGTCAAAAGCGAGGACACTAGGGGTAGCCATGACAGCAGTAGACTAGCAGCGCAAACAGTGGGGTGAGGGCAGTGCTGTGAGAGAGGCGCTGCTCTTACCGGACAGGGCGGCTCGGGCGGCTCGGCTGCAGGGCGGCTCGGCGACTCGGCTGCTGGGCGGCTCGGCTGCTGGGCGGCTCGGCGGCTCGGCTGCTGGGCGGCTCAGCGGCTCGGCTGCTGGGCGGCTCGGCGGCTCTGCTGCTGGGCGGCTCGGCTGCTGGGCGGCTCGGCGGCTCGGCTGCTGGGCGGCTCGGTGGCTCAGCTGCTGGGCGGCTAGGCTGCTGGGCGGCTCAGCGGGGCCGCTGAGAGGGTCGCGTCAGGGGCCGCTGGGAGGAGGCGGCGGGGCCGCTGAGAGGAGGCGGCGGGGCCGCTGAGAGGAGGCGGCGGGGCCGGAAAGGTAGGTGGCGGGGCCGCGTCAGGGGCCGCGGCAGGGGCCGCGTCAGGGGCCGCGGCAGGGCCGCGTCAGGGCGCCGCGTCAGGGGCCGCGTCAGGGCGCCGCCAGGGGCCGCGGCAGGGCCGCGTCAGGGCCGCGTAAGGGGCCGCGGCAGGGGCCGCGTCAGGGGCCGCGTCAGGGCCGCGTCAGGGCCGCGGCAGAGCCGCGTCAGGGCCGCGTCAGGGGCCGCTTCAGGGCCGCGGCAGGGGCCGCAGCAGGCCGCGTCAGGGCCGCGTCAGGGGCCGCGGCAGGGCCGCGTCAGGGCCGCGGCAGGGGCCGCGTCAGGGCGCCGCGTCAGGGGCCGCGTCAGGGCACCGCCAGGGGCCGCGGCAGGGCCGCGTCAGGGCCGCGTCAGGGCCGCGGCAGAGCCGCGTCAGGGCCGCGTCAGGGGCCGCAGGGCCGCGGCAGGGGCCGCGGCAGGCCGCGTCAGGGCCGCGTCAGGGGCCGCGGCAGGGCCGCGTCAGGGCCGCGGCAGGGGCCGCGTCAGGGCGCCGCCAGGGGCCGCGTCAGGCCGCGTCAGGGCCGCGTCAGGCGCCGCCAGGGGCCGCGTCAGGGCGCCACCAGGGGGCGCGTCAGGGGCCGCGATAGGGCGCCGGCAGGGGCCTCGTCAGGGCGCCGCCAGGGGCCGCATAGGGGGCGCGTGGGAGGCGGCGTAGGGGCCGCGTAGGGGCAGCGTAGGGGCCGCTAAAAAAAAAAAATTTAGGGCAGGGCGCAATGTGCGCGGGCAGCTAAAAAAAAAATTCTTATGGTGGGCCCTTAGGAAGGAACGGTCCCATGTAGGAACCCGCTCTATACCATGTGAATCAAGAAAAACAGGAATGAAATGACTAAGTTAAAGTTGGGTACAAAAGGCAAACCCTAGGAAACTGTACCCCATATGTGCTACCCCACTATAGCCTACAGTAACTATGTCAAATAACTCTGACATGGTGCTACAGTGGTGTACGCGCTGAGCGGGGACGCGAAGTAAGGACAAGATTCGACGTTAACGTCGGAAGGGTTGCGTAGCTGTTACATCCTTAGTTGACAAAAAAAAAGATATACGGTATAAAGCGCCAAGTTCAACTTTTCCCGTATTTAATGAATATGGCAAGCTCGTTAGTTCATAATGACGCAACTTAATACTATTAACGTGGATTTTCTGTTCCATAGTTTAAAAATAGGTGAAGATTTAGGCACATAGATTTTTTTTAACTTTTTGAACAATGATAATCTCTATGCTAAAAAATGATATTTTGTAACATTGCACTATGAGGCTCTTGCTAGCAAAAGTGTGGTTCATAGTGAGTTGTTTCTAGCTCACTCAAATGTTTCAGCTAGCTGGATGTGCCACGTGATTATGCGTGTGTTCACGTGGATACTAGTCTGTTTTTGTTTCCAAGTGCCCAAGTTTTGCTCAAGTTTTCAGATCGACCCAAGTGTTTCATGCAGGTGTACAAAACTCCTCTAATTTCCCAGCTCCTTCAATGGTTACTTTAGTTACTGCCCCACCTCCCTTTCCCAAACCAACCCAACAAACCCACCTCATCATTGCCTCTCCTCCGCGGACCCCCACCCACCTGTTGCCTCTCTCTCTCCCACCCACCCAGCTCATCATCGCCTCTCTCTCCCACCCACCCAGCTCCCCCCCACCCCGCCGTCCACTCTCTTTCCCACCGCGCAACCCCCTCTCCCTCCCACCCGCTGTCGCTTCTCCCTCCCATCCGCCGTCGCCGCTCCCTCCCTCCCGCCGTCGCCGCTCCCTCCTCCCGCCGTCGCCGCTCCTTCCCACCCGACCGTCACCTCCCCCTCCCCTCCCGCCGTCGCCTCCCCGTTCCTCCCGCCGTCGCCTCTCCCTCCTCCCCGCCGTCGCCTCTCCCTCCTATCCGCCGTCGCCGCTCCCTCCTATCCGCCGTCGCCGCTCCCTCCCATCCCACCGTCGCCTCTCCCCCCATCCCGCCGTCGCCTCTCCCCCCATCCCGCCGTCGCCTCTCCCTCCCATCCAGCCGTCGCCTCACCCTCCCATTCCGCCGCCTTCGGCGACAGGTCACGAGCAAGCTGGTGCGCGAGTGGGAGCTGGTGCGCGAGCGCGGGTTGGTCTCTGCACCGTGAATTGCAGGTGCGTTTACCCTTTCCGGTCCTTTTTCCCTCCCTTCCCCCTACTGGAAGTTCCTATATTTCCGATTTTTCCTTATCTTATTTGTAGTTTCTGTGTGTTGATTGGTCTCTTGCGTTGCACTACCGTTTGAAGAGGGGGAAGAGGGAGCGCGAGGGAGCGAGAGTGCAGGAGAGTGCGCGCGTGAGAGCGAAGGAAGCACTAGAGGGAGATAGAGTGGCAGAGCGTGCAAGAGGGAGAGTGGGAGGGAGAGGCGCGAGAGAGAGAGAGAGCGCCGTGCGCGCTTGCGCCGTCGGCGCGGGCGCCATTGGCGCTTGTGCCTTAGCCGCTTGCGCTTATGGCGCTGCGGCCGTGGGCGCAAGCGCCGTGGGTGCTGGCGCCTAAGGCGCTTGCACATATTGCGTAGACGCCGTGGCCGCTTGCGCCTAAGGCACTTGCGCCATGGGCGCTGGCGCGTAAGGTGCTTGCGCTTAGGGCGCTGGCGCCGTGGGCGCTTGCGCCGTTGGCGCGGGCTCGGTGGGTGCTAGCGCCTAACGCGCTTGCGCTTAGGGCGCGAGCGCCGTGGGTGCTGCCCCATGAGGCGCTGGCGCTGTGGGCGATTGCGCCGGGGGCGCTGGAGCCTAAGGCGCTGGTGCAGTGGGGCGCCGTGGGCGCTTGCACTTAGGGTGCTGGCGCCTTGGGCACGGGCGACGTGAGGGCGAGACTTGGATGTGCACGTGCACTTGCGGGTGAGTGCGGTTGTGAAGGCAAGGGCAAGTGCGAGTGCGAACGAGAGAGCAGGTTCGAGCGTAAGCGCGAGTGTGAGTGCGAAAGCAAGTGTGAGAGTGAGTGCCAGGGCGAGTTTGAGGGTGAGTACGAGTGTGAGTGTGTGTGTGAGTGCAAGGGGGAGTGCGAGGGTCCGTTTGAGTGTGTGCTAGGGTGATTACGAGGATGAGTGCAAGAGTTTGTGTGTGTGTTTCTGTGATTGTCGAAGAAGAGTTGAGAGTACATCACATGTGTTTGAGTGAAGAGTGAGTGCAAGAGTGAGTGCGATGGTGAGTTTGATGATGGCTGCGATGTTGAGAGCAAGCGTGAGCGCGGGTGTGAGTGCGAGGGTGTGTGACGGTGTGTGAGGGCAAGTAGAAGAGTGAGTGCGAGTGTGAGTGCGAGGGCGAGTGTGAGCGTGAGCGTGAGTGTGGGTGTGGGTGTGGGTGTGGGTGTGGGCGTGATTTGAGTTCAAGGGTGCCACTGTGCCGGCGACTGTGTGCGCATGTTAGTGCGAAAGTGTTAGAGTGAGTGCGCGAGTTCGAGGGTGAGTGCAAGGGTGTGTGTTTGTGTTTCTGAGAGTGTGTCTAAGAACGGTTGAAAGTAATTGTGCGTCCGTGAGTGGTTGCGAGAGTGAGTACGATAGTGTGTGAGGGTGAGAGGGCGGTTTTTAGTCCAGGTGCGAAAGCGGGTGTGAGTGCGAGTGTGAGTGCGAGTGTAAGTGCGAGGGTGCGTGCAAGTGCGTGTATACGGGTGAATATTAGAGGAAGTACGAGGGTGCGTGTTTAGGTGAGTGCGAGGGTGAGACCGAGAGCAAGAGTTAGAGCAAGTGCGAGAGTGAATGTGAGTGTAAATATGATGGTGTAGGGTTTGGGGTGAGTGTGAGCTCGAGTGTGAGGGTAGTTCAAGGGTGAGTGCGAGGATGAGTGGGTGTGCGTGTGAGTGCAAGGCTGAGAGTGAGACTGCATGCAAGTGTGTGTCTTAGGGTGAATGCTGCAAGGCTGAGAGTGAGACTGCATGCAAGTGTGTGTCTTAGGGTGAATGCGAGAGCAAGTGCGAGTGTGAGTGCAAGGGTGCGTGTGAGTGTGCTTGCGTGCGCGTGTAAGTATTTGTGTTAGTATGATTGGGAATGAGAACGATTATGAGTGCGAGGGTAAGTGTTAGAGTGAACGTGTAGGTTTGTATGTGTGCTTCTGTGAGTGTGTCTAAGAAGTTGAGAGTATTTGTGCGTGTGTGAGATTGAGTATAAGAGTGAGTGCGAACGTGAGTGTGAAGTTGAACTTGAGGGTGGCTTCAAGGCATGGCATCATGCTGGTGTCACGAATAATACCAAATTTCCTCTGTGAGCTGTCAAATTCATTGCTCATCTTTTTTTGTGTGCTTATTTCGTCTCTAGTGTGTGAGCTGCATTCTTTGCTTTTGTTTTCTTTTGCAATGCAGTGAGGTGTACTCTTTGTTTTTGCTTTCTTATGCAGTGCGGGTGAGTTGTTTCCTGCTTGGCCTCCGCACATGAGTTGCATTCTCTGTTTACTGCTTTCTTGTACACAATGTGTGAACATCCTCTTTTTTTGCTTTCTTGTGCAGTGCGTATGTTGCATTCTCTGTTTTTACTATGTGCAGGGTGCGTGAGCTGCATCCTTTCGGAGAAGGGAAATGAGGGAGGCAATGGGAGGGAGATGAGGGAGGGAGGGAGGGAGGGAGGGAGGGAGGGAGGGAGGGAGGGAGGGAGGGAGGGAGGGAGGGAGGGAGGGAGGGAGGGAGGGAGGGGTGTAGGGAGGATAGGGGGTGATAATCTAGTGATAATTTTGTTAATAGCTGAATGTCATGATGGTTGTGTGTTGACTATCTGTATGTATCTGTGCTTGTTTGCGTGCATGTCAGTGTGTGCGTGTGTGTCTGTGTATGTGTGTGTGTGAGCATGTGTGAGATATGTATGTACAGTCGTGTTGTTTGTATCGTTTGTGTCTGTCTCAAGGCGTGTGCTGAAGTGCCTCGTGTATGCAACTCAGGTTGTGATCGCCGGTGGGGCAATAGCCTTAGCGTGCCAGGCCAATCTTTGTTGCATCATCGATGCATTTTAGCATTCTCCCCAAGACACTCATGGTAATTGTTATGTGCTGTCGTCGTTGTACCAGTACGATGTCGCATGTGATCGTTCGTGTTTGTTGTAAAGTGTCATGTTAAAGTGTGTCGGGTCTGCAATTGAGGTGGGGATCGTTGTTGGGGCAGCATTTGCTCGCCTTAGCATACCGGATCCATCGCTATCGTAGCACCGATGCATTTTATCATTTACTTTATGACATTTGCTGTTGTTGAGTGTTGTCGCTATGTTCCATGGATGCAGATACCGTGATTTGCATCCATGTCGAATTTGTTGTCTCGTCAATTGTGTAAAATATGGCAAGGGTACCACTTGTTTCCATTCGCCGTATTTATCGACGATTATGGAAAAATTGGTCTCATTTGGTTTCACTTTTTTTGGAGACTCTTGTGTTTCCGTGCAGTCATCTCCACACATTTGAAGCAATCGTTCACAAAACGTTAAAGCGAGTGCTTCAGGCGTTGGGAAAATGACAAATTCCACTGTTCATTCGAGTCGACCGAAAAAAGTGCTACGCAACCTGTTACGAGTGCAATTGAGTGAACGAACGAGAATTGCACTATCGAAGCAAGAGTACAATGAGCGAAGGCATGAGCGAAGAATATATAGCGAAACTACAATGGTAACGGTAATGGACTGTGGTTGTCGCGCGACGGGCCTGGGACTGAGGTTGGGAAAAGTGTCGAAGTGGAGGCCCGGAGCGCGGGTTACCCGCCGAGCCGTGAGGTCGGGGTGCGACGTGCGAAGGTGGCGGGCGGATTGTCGATGCGAGGATTGCGAGTGGTAACGGTGCTGACTGTGGTGCTACAGTGATGTACGCGTTGAGCAGGGACGCGAAGTAAGGAAAAAGAGATTTTCCTTACACTACCCCCCCCCCCTTAAGGAGGTCCTCCTTACGAAAGTGCGTGTACATCCCTGAAATTCCGGCTGCGCAGATACTCGGTGAGGACGGGGTGGTTTTCGATTCTGTCCAGGGGAACACAATTGTCTTCGGTGGGTGTACGGTCCTTCCAGCGGAGTAAGAATTCGATCCTTCGGGCTCCTCGAGGGTCGCGAACTCTGTGACTCAGGATTTTCTCGGAGGTGATGATTGGTTCAGTCGGTGGTCTTGCCATGCTGGCTGGGCGATTGCGTGGCAGTTGGCTCGTGGACGGGACGTAAGGGCGAAGCAGGCTGACGTGGAACGAGGGGCTGACGTACCAGTCAGCAGGGAGGAGGAGGTGGGCGGTGACAGGTGTAAGCATGTGGCTTATGCGAAATGGCCCGCAGTATCGGGGGCGGAGTTTCGGGGTGATGGGCAGTCGGAGATTTTGGGTGTCGAGCAAAACTAAGTCGTCGGGCTGGTAAGTGACAGGTCTGCGGTGGCGGTCGGCGTTGCGTTTAGCGATGCTGTTAGCTTTTTTAATTGCGGCTGCTGCCCTGGTCCGGGCGGCTTGCAAAATTTCGGCGAACTGTTGTGCGCGTGGAACCGGGTTGTCGGGATTCGGGGTCATGGGTACTGTTGGGTCTTGTCCGTAATTCAGGTAAAACGGTGACTGTTGGGTCGTGGCGGATGGGACGTTGTTGTATGCGAATTCGATGAGTGGCAGTTGTTGTTCCCACGTGTTTGGGTCGTCGCACGTGGCCCGGATGAGCTGTTCCATGGTCTGATTTGTCCGTTCTGTCTGTCCGTCTGTTTCGGGGTGGTACGATGAACTGAACTGTAGTCGCGTGCCGAACTGCTGCCATAGGTTCCGCCAGAAGTTGCTGGTGAATTTCCTGTCGTGGTCGCTGATGATTGATGCTGGTATCCCGTGCAGTCGAACGACGGTAGAGATGAAGAGGCGGGCTGTTTCTTCGGCTGTGATTGATTTTTTGCAGGCTGCGAAGTGTGCCATTTTCGTCAGTCGATCGACGACGACCAGGATCGCGTCATTTCCACTCGCCCTGGCCGGTAACCCCGTGACGAAGTCCATCGTCACCTGCTGCCAAGCACGCTCTGGAGGTGGGATTGGCTGCAACTGTCCCGCCGGCCGCTTCCGTGTTGACTTCATGATCTGGCAAGTGGGACACGATGCCACGTGTCGCTGCACGTCGGTCAACATTTCGGGCCAGTAATAATACCGCTGCAGCTGCTGCCGTGTTTTCTCTACCCCGAAATGTCCCGAGGTA